GTGCCCGGAAGGCCTGATAAGTATTTGTGAATTTGTCATGATGCTTGTGGTCTTGAAGCAACGTCTGAACTCTTTCCAATGGAGTGAAAATGGCTTCTGTTGTCCCTGCCAGGATTGCCGCCACACCCCGGGTCGCAAACTCGGGAGCACTGACGTGCTTATGGAGAAGGCAAGATAAATCCTCGTACAGACCAAACATAAGCGCCAGGGTAGTTGTTTTCTGCATTAATGGGGGAAGGATTCCACGATACAAGTTTCGAAATCCATCCCTCCTCAACTGAAGCACTGCATCCCGGGTTTTGATCCCATAAAGCTGCTGCCGAAAGAGGACCTTCTGAATGGGAAATGTGACTGCTATATTGGTGAAAGCTGCGCAGCAGCCGCACAAGTAATGCTTCATTTCACCAACACTAGTGATGTGAGGCGATATGTCTTGTTTTGAAGATGTTAGGATTGGTGGCCTCTTTTCATGAGCTTCTGAACCCATCATGTTGCTTCCAATCTCTGCTGTTCATGAAGGATTTTTTAAACCTGTGACACCAGCTGATCCTTGCATTGTAGGGAATGACAGATGTTTGGTAACTTTCTCAATTTCTTCCATTGCTACTGGTTTGTTAGATTCCCTCTTCTGGAGTTAATTCTGATACCTGGATTTCCATGGCCGCAGGCGCCGGCGCACGCCCATACCTCCCGCCCGCAGGACGGCCCGCGAGCCAGCCCACCTACATGGTCTTACTACACTGATCAGACTCACAGTGATCCTCCTATTTTCAGCCTCCCAAGCACTGGGATTACAGGCATGTGCCACCATGTTCAGTTTGTCACCATCTCAGTGTGCCCTGGGGGCAGGGCCAGCAGTGTTTTTCAATTTTTATTTTTATTTTTATTTTATTTTTGTGGAACCAGGGACTGAACTCAGGCCCTTGCACTTGCCAGGCAAGCACTTATTCTGCTGAGCTATCTCCCTGGCCCCTGTTTTTCAAGTTTTAAAATGAAGAAAATGTATTACCTGTGCATAAGAATATTGTGTTGCTTACCTTTCTCTCATTGCTGAGACAGCATACCCAGCACCCAAAGTTAAGGAAGGAGAGTTTTGGGTTTTCTTCTATTGCTTTATCACTCATGTCTGAGCCCCAGAAAACATATGGATCAGGCTTTTTTTTTTTTTTTTGTCTTTTTTGAGACAGGGTCTTGCTATGCAGTTCAGGCTGTCCTTGAGCTCACTTGTATTCCAGGCTGGTCTCAAACTCACAATGATCCTCCTGACTCAGCCTTCAGAGTGCTGGGATTGCAGACATGCTCCATGGCTAAATGGCTCAGTTTTGAAAAATAGTCCCAAGCACAGACCCAGCTGTGTGTGGAAAGGCTGAGGTTGCCCACTGAAGGAAGGCTCTGGGGGAAGGACAGCCAGCGGAGTCTCTGCACCCAGCCTGCAGCCTCTTTCCTTCATTTCTCAAGGTGGAAGTTTCACAGGCTGGTTTTCTAGTTATAAGGATTGTACTCTAAATTTTTTCATAAGTTACACATTGCGCGGACCAGATAGCTCAGGGATGGTGAGATAGCTCAGCAGACTAAAGTATGTGCTTAGGCAGGTGCAGCGACCGAGGTTCGACCCCCAGAGTGCCATGCCGGCCCCACCCACGGGGCATGCTGAGATGGTGACTGAGATTGAACATGGTGGCACATACCTGTAATCCCAATGCTTGGGAGGCTGAAAACAGGAGGATCACTATGAGTCCAAGCTGTGTAGTGAGACCCTGTAGACCCTGTACTAAATACATTAGAAAGTTACACATTATCCCACAGCTTTTGATATGTTGTGTTTTCATTTTTATTTGACTCAGAATGTTTGATTTTTAAAAAAACTTTGAGTCATGTATTATTTACAAATGAGCCATTTAATTTTTAAATAATTTTCGGGTAATCCAATATCTAGATTTTCCAGATTTTTGTGTTATGAATTTTTTATTTAATTCTACTGTGGTTGGGGGGTAAACATGCTTTGTATCATTTCAGCCTTGTAAGTTTGGTATGGTTTATCTTATAGCCCACACTATGGTCTGTCTTATTGCATATTTAAAAAAAATTTTTTTTAACATTTATTTAGTGTGTGTGTGTGTGTGTGTGTGTGTGGCCAGCTCAGCCCACCAGGGGGCGCGGCTGGCTGGTATGTGGTGCTGGGGGATCGAACCGCGGTCCCTGAGCTTTGCCAAGCTTGTTCCAAGTAGGTGCTTTAGACCACTGAGCCATCTCTCCAGCCCCTGCATATTTTATATGCACCTGAGAAGAGTATATTTTGTTGTTAGGGAATGCTACAGCTGTCAGTAAGATGTACCTAGCTGATAATATTGTGCAGTTTCTACATATGTACAGATTTTTTGCCTACTTGAGCTATCAATTACTGGAGGAAAAGTATAACTATTCAAAGATAATTGTAGATCTGTCTGCTTCTTCCTTTCTCCATTCTTTGTATGTTTCCTCTTACACCTGCAGGGCTTTAGTCAGGTGCCCCAGTATTTCCCCCTGATGAGCTAGACACCTTGTCATTATGTGTTGTTCTTTCTCCTCTCTTTGACTTCCTCAGTTCTGAAGTCTGTTTGTTCTTAATCCAACCTGGCTTTCTTTGGATTAGTGTTTGACTGCTCTGTACATGGTATCTTTTCTACTTCTATGTGTGTTCCAGTGTAGCTTTTGGTTTGTGTTTCCCTCATGATGAGTGAATAGCTGCGTATATTTAAGCATATTTATCTTTTGTGAGAATTGTCAACTTGCGCCATGAGCCTATTTTTTCAGATTTTTAATTTTTTGTTATTTCAATTTTTAAAAATAAGTATTAGGGGTGAGTGGTTGAGGTCATGTTACATTGCCCAGAGTGTCCTTGAATTTATCCTCCTGCCTCAGCCTCCCCAGTAGCTGGGATTACAGGAATGTACCACCATGCTGAAATGTTCCATTTTTAAGAATCCTTTATATAGAAGGAAGAGTAGTCCTTTAACTGGTAAGCATCATAATATTTTCCCCCTTGTTTTACTGTTTCATTTTAACTTTGCTTATGGTGCTGTGCATATTTTATTCCCTTGATAAAGTTTTTATTTACTTACCTAATATAGTCACATTTATCCCTCTTTTTGCACTTGGATTCTGAGTCAGGTACAGAACCTTCTTTACTCTAACCCAAGGGCACATATTCCAAACATGATGCAAGGTTGCCTGGGTTGGTATTTTTTACCTATATCCTGGTTAAGGAGGAATTCAACCATGTTTTCTTTTAGTATCTTTCTGGTTTCTTAGATCTGTGATTCATTGAGGATTCACGCTCATGAATGATGATTCATATCATGAATGATATGAGTCTAGTTGATTTGTCTCAAATGACAAGCCAGTTGTCTTAGTGCCGTATTTGGAAAAGTCTCTTTTGCTCTAGTGATTTGAGACCCCGTGTTGATTCCAAGGGCTGTCCACGTCCATGAGGGTGAACTCTTCTATCTTTATTCATCTTCCTCATTAATCTGACTCTACCCATGACCAGAAGACATTGCTCTAATTTGAGAGGCTGTGGAGTGTTTGTTAATATTTGCCAGAGCTAGTCTTCCATGTTGTTTTTTGTAGTGTGTTCCTGTCTATTCTTGCATGTTTATCTTTCCCTATGAAGTTTCACAGCTCCAAAAAGTAACAAACATGTTAGTTTAATGGGATTGTCTCATGCATACACACAAAAATTTCCTCTTTATTTATTAAGTAACTGTGGCCTTTGTGGCCCCAAGATATCCTACCTGAGAACACATGGCATCCACCATCATGCCTTCAGAAGTTTAACAAAGTTTTCCTTGTATCACTTTTATACATTTCTTGGTGTATTTCCCTGTGATGTCTTTTATGTTCTTTATCGGTACTATCAATGGGTGTTTCCTATCATTTTATCAGCCAACTAGCTTGTTTTTCTGTGGACAAGCTAATGCTTCTGTTTTGGAGCATTATAGTCTATTACAGTACAGAATTATTTTATTGCTTGAGTTAGTTATTTTATGGCCCATAATATAATCTGTGTTGTTAAATATTTTATATGTAACTGAAAAGCATTTATGTTTTCACTGCTGATCTGGAGTTGTTCGGGTGCATGATCGTATCGCTAGACAGATATGGGTTAGCTTTATTCTTAATTCTTATCTATATAATCTGTCTAATCATCTATCTGTATAAACCTCCCTAGTTGTGTTTAGTCAAGTCCTTCAAGGAAGTATTGGAAGTGGTGGCAAGCGGCTTCCTGGCCTTCCTAACCCTAGAAGAAATATTCTGGTGCCTTAGTGCTTTCCCTAAGTGAGATGCTTGCCTTTAGGGTAAGGATACATATTTATTTCTATTGACCTAGGTGTGCTCACTTCTGTGGCACATACGGTAAAATTCTACTGACCTAGCTATGATTTAGAAGTATTGATTATTTTCTATTTTTATTTGATTTTTTCCTTTTGATCTACAAATATAGTGTATTATGAATATTCTAACACTAAACCAAGCTTCAGTTGCTGGAATAATTCCTACTTGATCAAGTTACCTTCCTTTCTGGATGTGGTGCTGTGGTCTGTCTGCTGATGAGCAAGACTTTAACAGAAGCAACCTACAGCCGTACCTGCTTCAAAGTGGAGGATGAGGGGGATAAGGCTTCCTGCTACATTGGTGTATGGTTAGGGTTTATGTCAAGTGAGACTCAACAAGATGTTCATCCTATATTGCTGTATTATTTTGCTTTCCTATTTATCAAATCACTCATTAATCAAATCATTATCCATCAGTCTATCTTAGCATCCACCCACAAATTGACTGATCAGTCCACCCATCTATCTATCCATTCATACATCTGTCCATCCATCCCATGATTACTGGTCATTTACTTTTAGTTTGATTCTACAAAGAATAAAAAAAATAATGAATTTTCAATATCTAAAGTTATCTTTCTTCCAAAAAGCCATCAGCCCACTCTTTTCTCTCTGAAACATGTTACCACAGTTGTCAAAAAGAGTCAAAATCACACAATTAACAAATGGTAAAACATTCAGGGTGGCAATTTGTTATGTGCAGAATTTCTTTCTAACTCAGTAGCTTTCATTCCTGGCCATTACTGACTGTTATTTCTTGTGAGAATAATCTCATTGCTTCTAAACAGGCCTGAAATGGTTTCAAAAAAAAATCACAGTAAATATATCCATCCATACACTGAGAAAAGTCAAAAACACCCTTTTGAACGTTTATGTTTGGTTTCACAGTGCAACAATAAGAATTCCTATTATATGAGGGAACCTAGGCAAAAAATATTTTTGTAAACAATAAATGATACAGAGGACAGTAATTGGTTATCAAATGTAAGTTTCAATACATCATATTTATTATTGTATATATAATACATACTTCCATAAGCATAATAAGATATACCCTAAAGTAGAACTACCCAAGTGATTGTAAGACGAGTTATATCTCTCCAAAATTCACATGCAGAAGCCCTAACTCCAGGACCTCAGAACATGACCTTAGTGGGAGACAGGAACTTTCAAGAGGTAGTTAAGTTAAAATGAAACCATAATCCAGTAGGGCTGGAGTCCTTATAAGAAGAGATCAGGACACAGACTCAGGCAGAGAGATAACCACAGGAGGACACCGGGAGAAGGTGGTGTCTGCACGTCAAGGGTACAAG